TAACACACTGACAGCTGTCCTCAAGACAAACAGCTCTGAGGAAACTACAATATGAAACAGATTTAGATTTTCTTTATTCCACATGTGTTATGTCATAGTGTTGATTTATTCAGTTTTGTTCTACACTGCAGGAAACAGTAAAAATAGAATAAAAATCCTGAACGAGGAATTGTATCCAAACCTTTACCTGGTGCTGTATGTGTTGTCCTATCAGTAAAATGTTCCTTGTTTGCCAAATTATTAAACTAAAATATGTTGTTGGGATTTAGAGAAACACACTTGGTTGGTTTAAATCAAATGTTTCAGATATATTTCAGTTTTTTCATGTCATTGATGGTTCTTTAGCTCACACCAGAGCTATTTATGGCGTTCCACAGGGTTCTGTGTTAGGACCAGTACTGTTCACCTTGTCGTATGTACATTAGGTGTTGTTGCTCTGGATGGCACTGCCTTGTCCTGCACAATGAGTCATCAGGCTCCTCCTGTGCTCCTCCCAGTCTGGCTTCAGCAGACAGACTTCCTCCCCACTTTTAAGATTAGACTTAAAACTTCCTTCTTTAAGAAAGTAAACATGGAAACAATCCAGTTTTCCAAAAATGAGGAATGAAAAAGCATGAAAGATGATTGTTTGAGCTCAAGAATACTCAGGTTGTGTTTCTGTGTCTAACACTAACTACAAACAGACTCTTTTGTTGTTTAGGTGTAAATGAAGGAGCTCTTTCAAGGAAAATCCTACTTTGCTTTTAATTACATTTCACACATTTCTTTCTAGAAAATAGTTTTGTAATACTGGTCTGGGTTTGTGCTTCCTAAACCTCATCAGTGAATGTTTCTAGTAGCTGATTTAGTCTTTCTTGATTTCCATGAATGTCTTTAATAATAAACCTCACTGTAGTGTCAGCGTTACTGGTTTGTCTGTATGTCTAGAGCTGACAAAAAGGTCTACTTTATTCATGATGATTACAAAGGTTTCATTATCCAGAAGGAAAAAATGGTTATTCTCTTCTTCCTATGTACTTTCTGTCCTGTTATCTTATTATTCTCCATCTAAAAGTCAAAGTGTCTGCAAAGCAGAAGCTTATTTCCATCATAAACCTGTGGAATAAAGTCTAACCTTGTGTGGATCTCATTCTGTGGTGTGTGGTCCCCTTATTTCTCCAGCTGAGGAGCCTCAGGTGGTGCAGAGGCTCCATCCAGCTTTCAAAGTGACTGTCCAGGTCTACTTTGGACAGGAGACAGAGGAGAGACACCGCGAGCGAAGGGACCTGAGGCACGTGGCTGCGCTCCACATTATATAAATCCACACCACTTTTATGGGCTCCATCAGGGTAGAGATCTAAATCTGGGTTAACAAGCAGAGCTTACCGCTAAGAGCCCAGGGCACCAGAAAAGAGAAAAAAGTCTTCTGTCTGAAATTCATTTCCCATAAATCATCTCGGCTCCGAGTCTTTGAAGTGGCTTTCTTAGACTTTGGACAGGAAGTGTTGGGCTCAGAGGTTTTTTCCAACCCAAAGCAGGAAGAGAGAGGAGAGGAGAGGAGAGGAGAGGAGAGGAGAGGAGAGGACAGAGGAGAGGACAGAGGAGAGGAGAGGAGAGGAGAGGACAGAGGAGAGGACAGAGGAGAGGAGAGGAGAGGAGAGGAGAGGAGAGGACAGAGGAGAGGACAGAGGAGAGGAGAGGAGAGGAGAGGAGGAACATATCTGCATTGTGACGCTCAGAGCAAGTGGTAATCCACACATAAATAGAAACTCTGAACAAAACCAAAGCACAGCATGCAGAAGAATATGTGCTAAGCCTGGTTTGGACTCTCATTGTTCGCTGCTTGTCATCTTGTGTGGATTGAGGAGAGGAGGAGAGGGGAGGAGTGCTGTTGGGCAGGCACGACGCCAAATGCAAATATTGTGGAATAAATGGTGCTAAAGCTCAACTGTGCCACTTTGCACCTAAGCCTGTGTTGAATTAACACTGTTATCATAAACAAAACATTATGTTAGTGTGGCAGTGGGCTGAGCGTCGACAGATGGTTAAGAGCATTAGGGAGATACCTGCCAAAGGGCGCTTTTCACCCCCCGTTTGGGCTATTAGAATTCACAGGCGAGTCATGGCTGCAAAAGCGCCCGTGGCATATGGCCCAGTAAATATTGACTGATATTTTAATTACCTTTTGCATAATCTAATAATTAATCACAAACATTACAGTTTCACCTTTACCCGGCGCCGCTTCAGAGGTGCACAGCGTCCAAATCACTTTCAGGATGAAGAGCTGTCACATAATAATCAAAGATGTGATGTTTTTGTCCAGCTTTCAAGTATTTAAATGAGTGCAGCAGAAGTAAAAAAAGGCAGAAAATAAGAATCATGAATCATTTCCAGCTCAAAACACTGCAGTTTTCACTCATAATTAAAGGCTTGCACATCTAAAAACGTGTTTGCAGATATTTGCACATATCGACAAATCTGAAGGCTCACACAGATTATGTCACAGGTTCATTACGCTGCACATGTTTGCTAATCCGACGCAGTAACGCTTCCATACGAGCTGGAAAAACTAGAGGTCAGAGAAACAGAAACTCACTCTGATTTCTCTGTTCTAACTTTATTATTGCGCTCGAAAGCCTCCCGAGTAACTACAGGGGTGGTTCACTGTGCTGAAAGTGACACATAAAAGTTTACAAGGGGATTTTGAAACTCTTCTGTCCAAGCAATAAAATTTCTCACAGGAAATTGATGGCAAAGTGGGAACAATTTTCTCCAGCTGAAAATAACAGCATAAGGTTAACACAAGGCTGAACATTTAGCCAATCAGGAGAGAGAATGCTTTGAGGCACTGATGCTACCTCTTTCCAGCACATTCATCCGTACATCGCAGCAATAACAGCAGCATGAGAAGATATTGTACAGGTGTGTGAGTCATGGTGCTTTGCATTCATGTCCTGTAAAAAGGGAATGTATGAAAAGAAAAGCTGGTTGGAGCTCAGCACACAATCTGGGCTCCGAGTCAAAAACGGGCTCCGAGATACAACAAACACCTGGCAGAGTGCGCAGCAGCAACGTACTGTACATCCCACTGTCTTCTGGAGACACGGGGAGGGAGGGAGGGAGGGCTGCACTGAGTGGGTGTGGAGGAGAGGGTGGGTGGATACGCACCGTGTCGCCACATCAAACTCCTCGCAGGCCAGAGGAGTTCAGAGGAGGCCCGTGTAACAGAATAATCCAGCACAGGCTCCAGCATCCAACAACTTAGCATGCAAGAGAGGGCGAGCAGATGAAAAACAGCGAGAAGCACGCAGCGCCTTGCCAACCTCTTTGGAAAAGGCAGCAGCTTCTTCTCCCTCTTGTTGCTGTTTCTGGGCAGGCTGTTAAAACATTGAGCAACACTCGAGCAACAGTTGGATGGACAGAAACCTGCTGTGTATATTGTTCTACTGTGATTGCATGAAATTCCCCTCTAATTGCTCGTTCCTCCACGCAGGCCAACGGCTGATATTGAGAACATCTGAGAGCTTTCAGTGCAAAACGTGTGTGTGTGCAGAGTTGGAGGACGGCCTGGAAAATGAGGCGGTGAGGTCTGACAGGTTGGACCGCTGATTGTAGCTTTCACCTGCGACTTGGTGTAGGTAACTCAGCGTATGACAGGATCCGTAAAACTTCCATATGGAGACCATACAGATCTAAAGTTACTGCTTCTCGTAGGAGCCGCTGACAGAGGTGTTAATAACAGGCTGACGTGAACATACTGTCTGAATTAAAACCAGCATTAAAGCACTGGCTTCTTTTAAGATAATAAATGCTGCAAAGTCACTGGGACGTTTACACATCACAGCAGAGCCAGCCTTGTGTTTCTGGTGACTCGATATAGAGGACAAAGTTTTTAGCAGCTGCTTATCTCTTATGTCAAATGACAAAATAGTGTTTAGCAGAGGTTTTCAGATCCTTTCATGTATCACCACACAGCAAAAATATTCACAAGTCTTCCACTGAAAAAGTAAATGTGTGTGTTAAAGTAGCTGTTAAGTGTCTTGTATTCTGTTTGATTACAGCTCGGTCTTTCATTTAGTTTACAGCAATTAACATTGGCAAATAAATGTAGGGGAGCAACAAGTGCAGCATTCCCCCTGAAACAGTGAAGTGAAAGTAGTCAAGTATTTTAAAACACAGCATTTATGGCTCACTGTACTTTAGCAGCTGTTCAATTTATTATAAATTTGATTCTCCTCCTGCATTGAGCTCTGCATCAGGATCTTTCTATTCTGGATCTTACTGACGTACTTGATCAAATAATGAATAAATCCTTCCTCGGTCATGATTTCACTGCTTGCATCAAAACAATTTTTTTCTTATTGTTCTCAAAGGGTCTTTTACACAGAAGACGTCCTGCTGTGTGACAGCAGGAGCAGCACAGGATGAATGATCTAACAGATGATGGCTGAATTTAGCCGTTGGTGCTGCACATGCTGACTCACCGACACGCTTGAATAGAGCCGAACCATCGTTAACGTTAATAGTAGCATGTTTGATTTTCCTGCTATGACGAGTCAAAATGTGTGCTGTGGGAAAATAAAAAGGCCCGTAAGGGGATTAAGTTTGCTTTTGTTCTGCTCAATGCTTTTCACAGCGTTTTCCAGAGAGGTGGCATCAACCTGAGCTCCTGCAGCAGCACCAGACTACTTAGTTTGTAGTTTGTTTGCAGCCTTTCGTCAACTAGTTTGTTTGTTTCATTTGTACGAGGGAGTCACCCAGATCTTCTCAGGTTCTTTTTCTGTCTTCCATAAGTTCAGCACTCATCCGTTTACCATAAAAAGGAGTTTATCTCAAACAGAACACGACTGATGAACACTGTTTAGTGCCAATGATACGAACAGAGCGATCAGAAATAACAGACAAAAAGTTTCCAGATCTTTAGAACCTGGTGTTACGCTGCCCTCTACTGGTGGATGAACAGATTTTCACATTGTGGACACGATGGATTAACTACAAAACTGTATATAAACAAGCCGATGTTCTGATGTCAAACTTTCAAAGTTTATTTCTACAATAGTTCTTTATATCACAAAAAGTCTTCAAAATGCAGACTAGGATCTGTATATAAACTGTACACAGAGCAAGGCACTATACACTGAAGGATTTCAAAATCAAAGACATTGATCATCATCATCACTCTGCCTTTAATCAAGCCTCTGTTGTTCTTCCTATCTGACATCCTGAAACAAAAATGACTCTAAACACATTCAAAAAAAAAAGAAGAAGCTGCTTCAGTTCATTTGTAAATGGCAAACGGTGATCTGTACAGCAGGAGAGGTTCGGTAGCATTTATCCACATATGACACAAACCTCTGCAACAATAATTATATACTTTATTTCAATCTTTTTTTTAATATCTGAGGAGTTTAAAAAAACAGAAATTCCTATATGGATTCGATATAAATATAAATTATTTGTAACGCACGAACAAACATACATGTATAGCAGAGAGTTTGATGAGGAGTTTGCTCACAGGCTGACAGACCTGGTCCCACTCCACAACATGGCTTTAAGGCTGACAACATAAGGGCACTGGCTATCCTGCATATCGTACATATGTACATACATCAACAGAGTGAATCTAATGAAGCACTAGTAGCACATTCACTCAGACGTGCATCATCCCACATTTGTCTTCTATTTATTACAACCACAACACCAACACTGAGAGCAGCTATGAGAGGAATCTGCATCATGAGGAGCTGCTACACTCCTTTCCCAGCCCTCTAGAGCTTCTCTCGTCCGTCCTCAACTTCCCCACTAATTCTCAGGAGGATGGAGTCCTGTCCAAACAACACCCTGGTGGTGTTTTCTGACGCCTCCAGCAGCTCCCTGTTTCATCTCTTTAGAAAAGTCCTTTCGCTTTCTTCAAGTTCACTTGCTTCCAGCTTGGCAACCCGCCGTACTCCTCTCTGCTCATCTGCAGGGCTTTCTGTGGGAGCAGCCAGACGACACAGTCAGCATCGAGCACAAGTCACGTGATGGTCCGCTGTACGTTTTCAAACCAGTCAATCCAATCTGCAGCCTGAGCAACCTGAGAACACACTCGTGCACCAGTGAGATTAAAAACACACACACCTGTATTCCAGTAAAAATGCTTCAAAGTTGACCAAGTACTCAAATCTCCAAGATCCAGTTCAAACACGTGTGGATTACAGACATCAGCATGCTGAACAAATCAGAGTTGTTAGATCAGGAAAAAACAAACTGTTAGAAAGTGAAAGAAAATGAATTAGAGGTGAGAACGTTGAACAAAAAGGAAGGATTTTTGCAGCCTCTGGGTCCTCCATGCTCAAGTCAGACGACTCACCTGCCCGAAGGCCCCTACACCCTGGAGGGTGGGAGGGATGAGACAGACAAGTTCACAGAGAGACAAGAGGACGGAGAGATGACACCATTACCGACATACGCAACACATCAAAGAGAAAGAAAAGGAAATGGGGGGTGAACAAGAGGAAAAACTCTGAGCTATCAATACATAAAAGCAGAGAAGTCAGGATGAACCAGCGTTTCAATTAAAACTCAGCAGTGAGTCGCTGCTGCACAACATCTTCCTTCATTATCACAGTTCAAATAAACTCACTGCAGTTTATTTTGACTCTGCTTTACAGCGTCCTGCTGCCAGAAACACAGACAACAAATCTGCTAATCCTGCTCACTGCTGTCTGCTGTCTGAGCAACATTTACAGAGAAACTTCAGCGGCTTCTTTTTGCAGGCTGTTTCCACAGAGCAGACGGAGGACGGGGATGGAAACAAGTCAAACATGTAAATAGCAAAATGTCCACAATCACTGTTTCTTCTCGTGTTGGTAACATGGAAAGATAAGAAAATGAAAGAAAATGTTGGACAAGTTGATTCCAGGTTTTTTGATTTTTGTAAATAACTAATCCCAAAAAAAATTCAACAATATATTTTTTTGTAATTTTATGTTTTAGAGCATTTTATCTTCGTGAAACTGTGTAAAAGACATTTGAGTTTCCTCTACTTCTAACCATGGTGATGCTGTTTTCATCCATTTACTAATGCTGTGAATAATGAGCCCACAGTGAGCAAAAACCCCAGAAACTGCTTGAGGTTCAGAGGGTTAAAATAATATATATCACCATCAAACTATGTGGAAATGTTGATCTAATATATAGCAAAATGCTTTCTCTTCCCAGCCAGTATTTTAATGTCTTAGTCATGTATGTCTGCTTCATTTAACAGTGTTTAAAGGAAGTCAGAGCACCTGTAAGGTCGTATGAAATAGAGGCTGCAGGTTCTGACCTCAAAGTCCTCATCAGACAGGTAGACTTCCAGGCGAAGAGGATCCACTCCTTCAGGCAGCGGCCGGGCCAGGAGCTCTGCCAGGGGGTACGTGGTCTTACACAGCCGGGCCAGCACATCCTCCACCAGGATAATCTGATTACACACTTCTGCCTCCTGAGAACACAGACAGATGCCATTTATTTTGAATGCAGAAACCCAGAGAGTTGATAACAGCTCCCACCTAAAGCGACCTGTGTGCACGTCTGTGTGTTTGTGTTTCAGTGCAGAGTGTGAGAGCAAACCGACAGCATCATGCAGACGCACAGCAATACACATGTATGTGAGATTGTGGAGCTGAGGAGTCATCAGATCATATGATTTGAGCCACAAACCCTCTCAGTAATCTCAGCGATGTCCTCTCTGTGCTCCCAGCTGGGGAACATGTTTGTGAAGGTGAGCGGCTCCAGACCGGCGTGGATCAGATACGCTTTGGGAGGCTTCTTCTCATTCTTTTCTGGGGACACACAAAAACATCGTCAGTTTTAAAACAGCACTCTGAGATTTCCTTCTTCTTTGGTTATATTTACAGGGTTCCTACACATTTGAAATTTAGAAATTCCATACTTTTTCCAGACCCTGATTTCCAGACTTCTCGGTAAAAAAAAATTCAAACAGTGAACTTAGTTCACTTGATGTTGTCGGACTTGGTCTCATGCTGGGTTTAGCCTAAAACGCTCTGACTCTCAGTGCAGAGGATGCGGTGACAAGACAAAAGTGTTTTTTCCGCTGCATATGACTCACAACCGCTGCATCCCCCATGTTGGAGATGTCAAACGATTTCACACAAAGTCGGCATTTAGCTTTCTTTATCCATTCGGGATCCTTATCCAACCAGTCTTTATATTTGGGATTTATGAGCCAGTCGTCAGAGAATTTACATTTACCCATAATGAGCTCTGTCAACGACCATACAAGACATTTTGAATCGCTCACTCACAAACTTTATGGACATCACCTGTCTGTCGAAGCAGCAGTGAAACTTGACGACACCTGGGCGGGCCAATGGGTTGGAAGAGGATAAGAGCAGAGGGCGGCCATTCAACTTGTCAATCTGCCCAAATGTTTTCTGGGATGCGTAGCCATGGATCTATTATATGAACGCGTAGCCTACTGTGTGCTCTCACACAAACATTCTAGCTGCGCTGCTAAGGGCCTGAAAAACAGATCGATCCATTTCTTTTTTTAGATATTCATAATTTTATGTTTTAGAAAGTAGAACAGTGGTAATAGTCTTGGAAACATGAATATTTTTCCATACCATAGTTTCCATGTTCCATACTTTTCCAGACCTGGACATTTATAAAATCAAATTCCATACTTTTCCATATTTTCCATACTTGCGTAGGAACCCTGCATTTAGATTGTTGTAACAGTTTTGCATTTCATTTCCCATAAATCACCTGGAAAACTCACCAAAAAAACAAACAACAACTTGAAAGCCATTCAGAGTCTGAGAAAATGTGTGTTGTATGTGCTTTATAATAATAAAGACCAAAGAAGAATACCTCTGCAGTACTGCAGCACCGTCTCCATGGCACACTTCCTATCCGAGTCCCAGCGGATTCGAGCTGAGCCGGTGCTTTCACTGTCCTGAGGCCACCAGCCCTGCCACAGGTACACCTCATGGTGGTTGTCCACCAGGAACAGGGCTGATCACCCGGGAGAAAAAACAAAGTGATGACATTAGTTTTGGATTTTAAAAAAGAAGATGTTTTTGCAGACATTGGACTCACATTAGGTTTATTTTTGAACAGAGTTTTTTGTTTGTTTTGTTTGTAGTTCTGAGGATTATTGCTGAACTGACTTATTAGTGATCAGAGAAATCATCTCCGTGAGCCTGCTGGTTCTGATGCACCATAAAAACTCACACTGAAGTAATAATGGACTTTTTATTTCTTAAACAGTTCGGGGGAGCTGCTGCTTGAAATTAAAATTTTCCACAGGCAACCACGTTCACTTTCTCCATTATAAGAGAAAGTAGTCCCTTCTGGTTCCACAACAAGACGATAAAAATGATCAAGAACACTTTGTTTTCACTTTTACCTGCCAGACCAGCTGAGTCAACATTTAGCTGCTGAGCTGTTCAAACCTTTTCTGAGCTGCTCTCTACAGACTGCTGCTCCAGAAGTCACACAAGGCTACAACATGCGCTGACCCGCTGGACTTTGGATGTAGCTGATAAGATTAATGTAGATGAAATTTTCAATTCAACAAATCCACAACGTGCAAAAAAAAAAAGAACAAACAACATGGCTACAACAATTACACCTTTGATATACATATTTAGATGTCGCCTCATGTTAACCTCAGCTCAGATCAACAGTCCTCTGGTCTGACCGGATCAGATCCTGGCTGTGCTCAAGGTTGTCTGAGCCCAGCCGAGCGTACAAACATCAAAGCAATGCTTTGAGTGCTTTTGTTTAATGTTCTTGGCTTCTAAATTGTCTCCAGCTCCAAATTGTACTGGGTAGCTATGACAACATGATACAGTGCCCACAAAAGTAGTCAATCCCCCGGGAAGTTTTCACCTTTCATTGCTTTTTGAAGTTGAATCATTGTCAATTTAATGTGGCATTTAGACAAGAATTTACATAAAAAAGACTCTTTCACATCGATAGTTTTCTAATATAAAGTAATAATAGTAATAACATTATTTTGATTTATTTATAGTTTGTGTTTATTAATCATATTTGCTTTAAATATCTTGTAGGGTCTGACTGGTCTGGTCACAACAAACAAAGACCAGAGAAGCAAAACAGTAGAAATAAACTTTAAAAATATACAAATTAAATTAAATTAAATTAAATTAAATTAAATTAAATTAAATTAATAAAAGCACCAAAAATGCCCTGTCCAAATAAGAAAAAAGAACAAGTGGGATAAAATAAAAAAGAGGGTGAAACCATAAAAACAAGAGTAAAAATAATAATAATAGACAAACAAACAAACAAACAAATAAATAAAGGGTAAAAGAAAAGAAAATAAAGACAACGTTACAGAGAAGCAAGTCTGTAAAAACAAAAAAGGGGTTTAAAGAAGTGATTTGGATACAAGAACATTTCCAATTCAGTGAATATTACGTGGAGAACAGTTAAATCTTTAACTAATGGAAGAAAAGGGCACATCTGCCTTAAAAACCGAGCGGCGTACAAGAAGGTGAACCAGAGACGGAGGCCACTAAGACACCCACGACTCCCCTGTAGGAGTCATAAGCGTCAGCAGCTGATGTGGGAGAAACTGTGCTACAACTGCAATCCATGTTCTTCACTAGTCAAGAGACAGACAAAGAGAAAGACACTTTTACATCTCGACAAGAGTTCACCAGAAGGAATGTGGAAGCCTCTCAAGTCAACTAGAAGAAGGGTTGTTGTTTTGATGAGACAAAATTGAGCTTTTAGCCATCAGATTAGACACTCTAAACACACCCCCCGGCCTGGGAAGCATGGTGACGGCAGCATCATGAGGTGGGGATGCTTCTAGGCAGCAGGCCCTGAAAGGCTGGTAAAGGTAGAGGGTAAAATACATGCAGCAAACACCAGAGAACTGAGACTTGGGAGATTTGTTTTTCAGCAAGAAAACGACCTAAAGCATACAGCTAAAGCTACAAAGATGAGGTTAAAGACAAAACTAACTGCTCTGGAGTGGCCGAGTCAGAGCCCATACCTCAATCCAAATGACAGTTTGTGACTGGACTTAAAAAGGGCTGTTCGCTCTAGAGCCCCATGTGACCTGAGAGAGCCTGACTGTTGTGGTAAAGAACGGGGTAAAAGTGTAGGGTCCAGAAATGCACGGTTGGTTGAGACCTACGCTGTAATTGTGGCCAAAGGTCCATCTACTAATTACTGACTTGAAGGAGGTGAATACTTGTGCAATTAATTATTTATGTTTTATATATTTAATCAATGTATATTACTTTAAAGAAATCGTTTTCATATTGAACATGAAAGTGTCTGTTTTGGTCAATTATTGTCAAAAAAAAAAAGCCAAATTACATTGACCAGGGTTCAAGAGGAAAACTTCCAAGGGGGATGAAAACTGTTTGTACAGTCGTCCTCAAATGTATTCATACCCTCCCATTAAAGAAGGAAAAAAACAGCTGTAAATGAAATAAGTTGAAATTGACAAAAGTAATAATAAATAAACATTTTAATGAAAATCATGACATTACTTTTGAATTGTGGTTCAACAAAAATATCAAAAAAACAAACAAACAAACAAACAAAAACCCCACACAAGAAAACAAGTACGATGGGACCCGTAAACTAATATTTTGTTGAGCCAATCACTGCAATCAAGTGTTTTCTGTAACTCTCAATCAGACTTCTGCACCTGTTGACAGGTACTTTGGCCCACTGCTCAACTGCTAATCAGCAAAGTGCTCTAATTTGTCTGGGACAATTTTGTTTTTGTTAATTATTCTTTTCAACCACAACTAAAAAGCAATGACTCATTTCACTAAAGGACAATTTAACAAATTTTTATTTATTATTACTTTTTTCAGTTTCTAGTTATTTGAGTGACTATTGTGAATTTTGCCTTTTCTTTAATGGAAGAATCTGAATACATTTGAGGACGACTGTAGGCACTTTACCTGTGAGAATAACTTACATTGATAAATTATGGCAGTCATTTAATACAGCATCACTCAGCAGAGTATATTGAAACAATCACATTTCACAGAAGGGTTCATGTGTTGTCCTGCCAGAGGGCCAATTTTTTAACCAAACTTTGGGACTTATATTCCTTCCAGATCAACACCGTCACAGTTACAAAATGCATGCAGACAACGACCTGTCAGATGTATGTGTTTACCTGGCTGGGAAGCTGTGTAGAGGTCCTCCTGAAGAAAAGGCATAGAGTTGATCTGCTTGGGGTCTCTGGCTGGGTAGAGGAACTCCACAGCTACAAACTCTCCTGAGCTGCTGCTCAGCTGGTACAGACGAGGAGTGAAGTTAAACCTGCCGGGATCTGAGGGTCAAAGGTCCAAAAGAAAGAAAAGAGACACGAGTAAAATCAAACCATTTAAAGTCTGCCAGTATTTACAGTGGTGGAAAGTAATTACATACGTTTACATGAATGCTGTACATTTATGTGTTCCACTTTTACTGTACAAAGTGGGCGTCCCTGTACTTGATTACCACCTTACGATTATAGTGCACAACATTTTAAAGGGAAACATTGACATTTTTACTCCATTTCATGAACCTGACAGTTACACTTTATGAGTTACTTTAAAGAATAGGATTTTCCATAAATTGGCACATGATAAATTGATAAATTGCAATGTACTTATGATTTGGTTTTGGCTCGTTGTAGATGGTGATGATTTGTTAGCATTTGTTCCTGTCCATAGTTTTTCATTGGTATCACTTAAGTAACTGCTCAAGTCCCAAAAAGATCAAATAATCCAACATTTCACAAACAGCTGAAGACTGGAGAAAATGCAAAAAC